GCCATCCTGCTTCTCTGTCTTGGTAACTAACTTATCCCAACTACCCCATGTAGCTGGTAGGGAGGAAATCAGACACACAAAGGGATTAATTAAACTTTTGAACTGCTTATAAGTTTCTTGGAAAGTCAAAGCAGTTGAATGGTATTTGTGACATCAGTAATGATTGGTAGTTTAACACTGCGGTGCTTCACACCCTGTCTGTAAAACAGGATAAACAATTTGCCTAGGGCTATAGCTTGCCTCTCACCGATTTACAATTTGTTATTGGGAAGATTTCCAAAGATATTGCTATGTATTTTATTTTTTCATCCCATGCAAAAAAAAATACTGCTTTAAAGTTATCATACATTTTAATTAGAAAGTTTAATTATATAGTATAATCATCTTCTGAATTATAACCTCAACATGGTTCGATCAAGAAGAACCACTTTCATTAAATTTGACAGAACTCACTTGCAATGAGCTTTCTAGAGAATAACTTCTGTTTAAAAAAATTGCTATTTGTGTTCCATTTTGCACTCTTATTATAACCTTGGTCCTGATTCATTAGGATAAAGAGAACTAAAATGGTTATACTTCTTTCTTTTCCAACAGATTCTGGAACATTCATGCCATGTACTGAAAGCAAGTTGAACGCAGTACCCAAGCCATCATTGTGATTCTTCTTGCTAAAAACAGAGCCACAGCAGACAGGGGAACGTCATTCTTCATGTGCGCTACCGTGGTCTCCCTACTCCACGGGCTCTGACTAAGGGTAAAACACCGTGCAACATAGTTTATAATCGGAGCCATTTGTTCAGAAATGGCATTTGTTGTTTCCTGTACCTAAAATAGTTTAAAATGTGAAACATCCCATGTCCCAGCCTATTTGCAATATTATTTTAATATTCTCTACAAAATAACCTTACATTTTCATACTTGGATACTATCATTAGACATCACTTAACCTCTAGCTGTGTGTTCTCATACCTATTTATAGAGAATAACTATTAAGACTATCATATTTATTTTTTAAAATATACACTTGAGCTACATTCTAAACATCCCACTAAGCCAAACAGAATTGATTTACTTGCTTAACAAACGTTTACCCACCACATGCAGGAGATGTAGCCATAAGACAGAGTCCTTGTCCTCACTGAACTCACATCCCAGCATACACAGAAAGCCAGTAAACCCATAAGAAGTCAATGTAAAGGGTGCTAAATGGGAATTAATGCTACGGGGAAATAGTAAAACAGGATGGAGGAGAATGAGCACCAGACTGGAGGGAGAGGGGGCTACTATTTTGTAGAGCAGTATGTCCACTCGACATAGATGAGGCTAGAATGTCTCAGACCTTCTGCATGTACCTCCAACTCTGGACAAGTTCACCCTCCCTCCGGGATTACGTAGCTATTAGCATCTTCTTCGTCTCACATATTAGTGACCTCAGCACACCGATACTGGACGCTCACCTAGATTCCTTACCTCCTGCTACTTCTCTTAGTTCCATTGGGTTTCATGAGCATAAAATAATTGATACAAAGTTTGCTTTTCTCTTTAGAGACTTATCTTTGAATATATTCTAGTCTGGAAAGCAGTCAAGTCAACTTCCTTTAGTTGGGTAGGACCTCATTTGAATAAGAGATTAAAGTTCTTTGTTGAGCTCATCCCTGACCTTTCTTTCCATAAAGATGGATCAGGTGTTTCATCTTTTCTAGTTAAAGCCAGAAAATAAAATGGAAAAACATGCCAGAGGCCAAAAAATAAACAAGAAAACTGCACCTACCCTATGTGAGAATAATCTGAGTTGACATTAAATTGAAACGGTTGGTGTATACAGCTAAGAAAGCCAACAACAAAATGAAAAGACACCCCACTGAATTAAAGAATATATTCACCAATGATACCTTTCATAGGGGGTTAATTTCCAAAATGTATAAAGAATGTATACAACTCAACACCAGAAAAACAAGCAATTCAATTAAAAAATGGGCAAAGGACCTGAATGGACCCTTCTCCAAAGAGGACATACAGATGGCCAATAGACATATGAAAAGATGTTCAACATTACTAATCATCAGAGAGATGCAAATTAAAACCACAACCAGCTATCACCTCACACCTGTCGGAATGGCTATCATCAATAAATCAACAAACAACAAGTGTTGGGGGGATTGCAGACCGGTGCGGCCACTGTGAAAAACAGTAAGGAGGTTCTTCAGGAAATTAAAAATGGAATTACCTTATGACCCAGCGCTCCCACATTTGGGAATATATCCAAAGAAATCCGAAACACTAATTCAAAAGAATATATGCACCCCTATGTTCATTGCAGCATTATTTACAATAGCCAAGATTTGAAAGCAGCCCAAGTGTTCATCAGTGGATGCATGGATAAAAAACCGGTGGTACATTTACACAGTGGAATAGTACTCAGCTGGAAAAAAAAAAAAGAAGAATCCCTGGTCAGTTTGGCTCAGCAATTAGAACGTCGGCCCACAAACCAAAGAGTCGCAGGTTTGATTCCGATCAAGGGCATGTACCTCAGTTGCGGTTTGTGCCCGACCCTGATTGAGGTCATGCAGGAGGCAGCCAGTCAATGTGTCTAACACTGATGTTTCTCTCTCTCTCTCCCTCCCTCCCTTCTACTCTATCTGAAGATAAATGGAAAAATAGATATATCCTTGAGTGAGGATTTAAAAAATAAAAAATAAGAAGGAAATATTACATTTTTTGACAGCATGGATGGACCTGGAGAATATTATGCTAAGTGAAATAAGCTAGTCAGAGAAAAACAAGTACTATATTATTTCACTTACATGTGGAATCTCATGAACAAAATAAACTAACGAACAAAATAAAAACAGACTCACAGAGACAGAGAACTGGCTGACAGCTGTCACAGAAGAGAGGGTGTTGGGGGGCTGGGTGAAAAAGGTGAAGAAATTAATCAAAAAATAATAATAATAAAACGTACAGACACCGTCAACAGTATGAAGATTACCAGAGGGAGAGGGGAATGGGGAGAAATGGAAGAGGATAAATGAGGAATAAATGGAGATGTTTTTCAAAAGATGAAATTGTTGGTGTCCTCTGCTTGACTTGAAGACGTTTCAGTTAATGAAGGTTATATTTTAACATCATTACATTAATTCATAGCCAAAACCAGTTACCTCTCCATTCCATTCTCTCCACCAAGTCCATCAGTATGGCTTGAGCCATGTAAATTCCTGTGTGTGTTTCTGAATCCAGATCCTTTCAGGCTACCACCTTAATTGATTCTCAGGTGATTGCTTCTGGTGTAGTCATGCTGAACTTCATGGAGACAGGTCCTCTGCCCTCCACTTCCTGTCTTCAGAGACTGAAACTGCAGTTCTGCGTATCCTTATCACCACCTTGAGCAGTTACACTTCGCTCATCTGATTTTCTGTTTCTAATTCTAAACCTTCAGACTTTTATGAATATTAATCAGCGTGCAACATCGTGCTGCAGCATTATACCAAACAGGAGGATTGCACAAAATGACTGAATCGCATTATTCAAATAAAAAAGATTCGGCTAAGATCTAGGAAGGAGAGACAATCCTGAACTATTGCCATTCAGGTTCATTGAGAGTACGGCACTACAGAGAAACGCTGTTCAAGGAGTGGAGAGGGTTGTTGAAGCTCTGGAAGCCGGTAAGGCAGCCGACTCCTGTGGCCACGCTCGGTCTACCAGTTGCTCTGTTTTCCACTCGACTATGCCAGCAGATAAATGCTTTGGAAGAAATGTCTGCTCTGGGCTTTTGCTGATCACAACCACAAAAGTGATCAACTAGAACAGAGAAAATTAAAAAGTTTAAGGAAGTTCATTAATTTTAGGGAGAATGAATATTGTGAATACCTAAAAACTTTTCTTAATGGAAAATGGCTTTGAGTTAGAGACGCATTAGAGTGAAATTACTATTCCCTCCTACTCTGCTTTCTCATTGTATGATAAATGAATGCCAGGTTGGCTGCACTGGCCAATTACTTTTTTTTTTTTTTTTTTAGATATTTTTTCAGTGGCCATTGCTATACAAAGTCGGCGTATAATTTAAACTGCATATTCACTATTTTTCTTCTCTTTCTCTCTTTCTGTATATATATGTGTGTGTGTGTGTGTATATATATACATATATATATATATATATATATACCCTCCCTCCCTCCATCCCTTCTTCCATGCAATATAAGATTTTTAAAAACTGTCCTGAAACTTGAAACTTGGGTATTCATTACCATATACTATTAACAAGGCAACACAGAAATGTGCTAGCCAAACTAGCAGAGAAATACAAAAGATTAGCAGTTGGCAGGCAATAAATTAGTTGCTTTGTTCTACTTATTCACATAAAGAGAAGAAAACAAAAGGCGGACTACCCGTAGATTAAATTGATGGGTACGCATATAATTACATATTTTTCCCATGTCATCAATAGTCTTTCCCCTGAGCAAACTGACTTTACTTTGAACCTGTTTAGGTTTGTAATCTCTAGCAATGAATGACACAGGATAATGATTTTCCAATTCTCCATATTAACAAAGAACCTATTGGCTGTGGTACAATTTATCAGTTCAGAGAAGACTTTCTAAAAAGTGAGTCAAGGGGTTGCTGATTTTTTTTTTTTTTAGAAAATTGTACTATGGCAAACTTCTAAACTTTAGCTTAATATTACACTAAAAGGTAACAATGGAATAAGTTTATGTAGCTCATACTAGACAAAGACTTCTCTAAACAGCTGGAAAGTCCCGTTCTTTGGCTGGCTTTTTGACGCTTTGGGACCAGCGGGGCGTAAAAAAGATAAGATGTAATATTCGCCTCTTTTCTTCTGCTCCTGATAGATTTACTGGTCTTGATGAAACCCAAAGCCTTCATTGCTAAGGCATTTATGGAAACAGATGCATTGTAAACTGTTATATTTTTATTCTTCTATTTAGCACACCTATAATGTGCAAAGTCCTACCTAACGACGGACGGGAGGTGTAGAGGGATGCCACAGTCTGAGATGGTAGTGTCCCTCGCAGAGACTGAGCTTCTGGAAGAGAAAAGTCGACAGGTTGGCACCTTGCAGAGTCTGTCTGCTCCCCGGCAGCTGCTCGCCACGCCTACAGTGCCTGCCAAGCACACCATGTCCTCCATTTACCTGGAGCAGGGCTGCTGCGTGCTCAGCGTGTACCCTTTGCTCTGGAAGAAAGATACGCACACCCCATCTGAAACACCAGAGGGTTTCAGGATGACTCTTATACATTAATTGCCAAAAATATAAACTGACATTCACCTCACTCTTCTTATTCATATGCATTCCCTTAGGACCTAGAGTCTTTTGTGCACAGAAATTATGAGACACCTCTTAAGATTGCTGGACATGTGGCTTTGAATGGTAAATGCAATTTCCAAAAGTTTCACGTTTAAAATCAAGGTGTACGTAAACCACCGGGGAAATCTGGCTCCGTTTGCCTTATCATGTTCACCATACCACTTGACGCTTGGTCTCTCCGGAAATGTTCTCTGAAGTTCAGGCAAAGTTTCTGTCATTGGAGGGGCTAGTGCTGCGTGAAGTCAGCAAGTCCATTTCAAACTTTAAAATATGCAGTAGAGCAACTCCATTTGCAGCCAGTAACCGCCAGGTGACATGAACTCTGACCCCATGGGCCCCAGGACTGCGTGTAGTGGTGTCTGTGACAACTACTGGCAATAACACCTTGATGCAAACGCAGTCTCAAGTAAGTGCTCATTTCACAGTGACTTCTGCTATCAATCTACTCAATACTCAGTCTACTTAGTTACCAGAAACCGTCAATACGCCCTTCACCCCTTATGTTCTTGAGTGACAGGTTCCACTTCTCCAGCGTGTTGTTTATTTGTTAGCTGTATTGATTTAAATTCTTTCTCTGCTTCTACTTACATGTCTAGAGGAGAATGATATTAGCACAGACTTCGTGACAAAGATGCAATGAACAGCGAAAAGTGATCACTACTGGATAGGTTTGTAAGGTCAAGGGAAATGGAGGGATATAAGAATATCAAGACATGTTTACCACTATCCTTAATTACACCAAACCGATTGCCGTGAATGTAATTCTCAAATTCAGCTAATATTTCCTTTTCAGATAATAAGGAACCCAACCCTGTCATTTAACAAGCCTTTCTTAGTACCTACTATCTACTTGCCACGTTAAGTATCGAGGATGAAAAGATGAGTATGACACACTTTTTGTTCACAGCCTAGTGGGGGAAAGAGGCTCCTAGACTCTTTTTAAAAAAACATTTTTTTTAAAAAACATTTTTTTTCTTTATTAATTTTAGAGAGAGAGGAAGGGAGAGGAAGAGAGAGATAGAAACATTGATGAGCGAGAACATCGATTGGCTGCCTCCTGCAAGCTCCTCCCACCCTCACTAGGGATCGAGTCCGAAACCCAGGCATGTGCCTCGACCGGGAATCGAACCGGCAACCTTTTGGAGTATGGGTCAACACTCAATCACAGAACCACACCAGCCTGTGGGTTAAATAACCACACTACAATGAAGTGTGTACTAAAGTAGGAATATGAATATTTGGGGATTTTAATTTTTTTGTTTTTGACATAAATAACTTCTTCCTCAGGAGAGCTTATAAAAGGAAAGTCTTTGCTGGAATTGGATAGATAAGGTCACATAGAACTTCAAGAGTTAAACTGTTCTGTAAAACAACTTGACAATTTAGGATTGAGGTCTAACACAACCGTGTGGACCACATACATCATTTTTAAGTGTTTGGGGGTCACATTTTTAAAAAGTAAAAAAAAATTTAATGAAATTAATTCTAATACTTTCCTTCCTCAATATAGCCAAAACATTGTCATTTCATCACATTAATATTTTTTAAATCATTACCAAAATATTTTATGTTATTATTTTATAAGCCTCAAAATCTGGTGTGCATTTTACATGTAGCACATCTGATCTCAAACTAGCTACATTTCAAATGTTCAAGAAGCACAACAAAGACCCGTGGTTAGTGAACGGACAACACCGGTCTAGTAGGTGGGAGAAGGGGGTTGACCGATGAGATGACAGGAGCCATGGGCTGTGTGGCATGATCCCCTGCCAGCCCTCCTGATCTTCAGGTAAGGCTACCGTCCTCGCAAACACCTCAGGTGGGAGAGCTGGGTTTCAGATCATGGTGAAGCTAAATTTCAAAGAGTATTGATGTGATGCGGGTCAAAGTGCAACCGCATATCTAGAGACAAGGGGGCATGAAAGAGTGTGAACGCGTAGGGGAAGGGGTCTAGGAGTTGCTGTGAGTGTGAATGTGTAGGTGAAGGGGTCTAGGAGTTGCCGTGGGTGGGAACGCGCAGGGGAAGGGGTCTAGGAGTTGCCGTGGGTGGGAACGCGCAGGGGAAGGGGTCTGGGAGTTGCCGTGGGTGGGAAGGCGTAGGTGAAGGGGTCTGGGAGTTGCCGTGAGTGGGAATGCGTAGGGGAAGGGGTCTAGGAGTTGCCGTGGGTGGGAACGCGTAGGGGAAGGGGTCTAGGAGTTGCCGTGGGTGGGAACGCGTAGGGGAAGGGGTCTAGGAGTTGCCGTGGGTGTGAATGCGTAGGGGAAGGGGTCTAGGAGTTGCCGTGGGTGGGAACGCGCAGGGGAAGGGGTCTAGGAGTTGCCGTGGGTGGGAACGCGTAGGGGAAGAGGTCTAGGAGTTGCCGTGGGTGTGAATGCGTAGGGGAAGGGGTCTAGGAGTTGCCCTGAGTGGGAATGCGTAGGGGAAGGGGTCTAGGAGTTGCCGTGGGTGGGAACGCGCAGGGGAAGGGGTCTAGGAGTTGCCCTGAGTGGGAATGCGCAGGGGAAGGGGTCTAGGAGTTGCCGTGGGTGGGAACGCGCAGGGGAAGGGGTCTAGGAGTTGCCGTGGGTGGGAACGCGTAGGGGAAGGGGTCTAGGAGTTGCCGTGGGTGTGAATATGTAGGGGAAGGGGTCTAGGAGTTGCCCTGAGTGGGAACGCGTAGGGGAAGGGGTCTAGGAGTTGCCGTGGGTGTGAATACGTAGGGGAAGGGGTCTAGGAGTTGCCGTGGGTGTGAATACGTAGGGGAAGGGGTCTAGGAGTTGCCCTGAGTGGGAACGCGTAGGGGAAGGGGTCTAGGAGTTGCCGTGGGTGTGAATACGTAGGGGAAGGGGTCTAGGAGTTGCCGTGGGTGGGAACGCGTAGGGGAAGGGGTCTAGGAGTTGCCGTGGGTGGGAACGCGTAGGGGAAGGGGTCTAGGAGCTGCCGTGGGTGGGAACGCGTAGGGGAAGGGGTCTAGGAGTTGCCGTGGGTGGGAACGCGTAGGGGAAGGGGTCTAGGAGTTGCTGTTGAGAGATGAAGCCAGACGGAAGGGCTGGGGTGAGATTGTAAAGAACTATGCAATGCACAGGGCTTGGGCTTAATGATGAACACACTATGGAGAAAACATCTGAATAGATTTCTGCGTATCCCCATGTGGGTGTCCCACAGGCACTTCAAATTCAATACAATCATAATGTAACTCATCACTGAACCCTCCCTCCAAACCCACCATTTCTGTTTCTTAATTCCTCCTACTCTTGTATCCTCCCAAACCTCCCTCCTCGTGTTCTGCGGGGCTAACTGCTTTTCTTCATCTCCACTGCCCCGACTCTATTTCAAGCTATTGCCATCTGCCAGTTGGATTATGACACCTGGTCTCCCTCTGCAAACCTGATCGCTTTCCATCCATTCCCCACAGGAAGATAATGTATTTTTTTAATGCAGTGCAAATCATCAAGTTTTCTGTCTGTCTCCTTCTTTTCTTAGAAGGAATTCCGAATCCTCTACAATCGGTTTAGAAAGCCCTGAGTGAGCTTGCTCTCGATTACTTCTCCAGCTTTCCTTCAAACATCTCCTCACTCTGCCCTGCTGTCATTGAACTTCTCTTCCCCACCCCGTGTGCCTACCACTGCAGAGCCTTTGGCAGGGACCGTGTTTTCTGTGTGAAACACGTTCCTTCGTTTTGTGGTCGTTACGTACACGACCTTCTTCTAGGAGGTCTTCCCAAATGTCCTCAGGTGTAAGTTAGATTGCTTTCCTATATCCTCCCTAGTCCCCTGTATTTCTCCTATCCTAAGACTTAGCATGCTATTTTGCAACTTCCCATTAATGTGATATTTTCCCGGTAAAATAACTTCCCTACTAACACAAAGAAAACCCATGTCTTTTCCCAGTATTTCCAGGGAATACCGTAACTGGCACAGATTTAGGTACTCGATACATGTTTGTTACATGGTTAATTTATATCAATAGATTGAAGCTTTATAGAGATCAGAGGAACGTATCAACCTAGGTTCCTGTGATAGTCTATGACAGACGGGAAAAGCCTGAAATAAAGCAGGGGGACTGATAATGTGGGAGGGATGCGTGAACTATAGAGAAAGGTATTTAGCAAGCGAATCTAACAGGACTTGGTAACTAATAGATGTAGGAGGCAAGGGGGCAGCGAGAGGTAAGGATGGTTTCCAGCGTAGAAGGTTAGTGATGCTGATAAAAGAGAAACAGAAAGAGCAGTGAGCTTGTGAGGGGGAAGGTACAACTGGGTTGCAGAGGAATAATGAGGTCAGTCTGAAAACGTGTGGAGGGAAATGCAGAAGACCCAGCTCATGATGGAGGACCTCCTGCAGGAAGCAATGCTCTGAAAATGCAGGGGGGGGGGGGAGCTAGGGAATAATGATACACAGTTAAAAGTCGCTGGTCTGTTGAGAGCCGAAATCATAGGAATGGATAAAATTGAGAGGCGAGAGCAAGGAGAGTGAAAAGGAGAGACAATGAGACAGTCCCCGAAGAGCGTCTATTTTAAGAATGAGGCTGAAGAGTGGAAGCCATAGTATTTCTGCCAAAAATGGCAGATTGAACACATCCATCTACTTTCAGTCTATTCATAAACCACACTAAAAACATGAATACGTGTATCTTTATTTTAAACATCACCTCATAAGGACAGGGAGAACAGGGTGCAACAGGAGGAGAAGAAAAGCACACAGCTTTAGCAGGTGAACAACATTTGGAGCAACGGGAAACAACGAGCTGGCTGGAACCACACATGCACCAAAATCTCACCCAGTCGTGAGGGTGGCCACAAAGCAAGCCGATTGATGTAACCTCCTCCCGCAAGGCCTGGTAAGATCTGGCAGCGCGATATTCTTCAGAAAGCTGGGTTAGAGTTCTACCATATGCTCAGTGCTGCCACTTTATTTACAGTTGTCAACTCTTAAGTACGAGCAGAGAACCGAGTATCACGCAACAACAAAAGAGAGTTTCTCCTGAGAAGTACAAAAATCAGAACAGACAGTTAAATAAAAGTTGGAGGAGAATGGTTTTGCAGGGAGAATACAATTCCAAAGAAAATTACTAGACCCTCAGGGATAAAAGAAATAAAACACTGCAACCATAAACTAGAACAGGACACATTTTAAAAACAAAGAAAGAACATGCTGAGAACAAGAAGAAGGGTAAATTCCTGAAAAGTTAGAACTTTAGAGTAGAAACCAAAAATTCAAAAAGATAAGTCGGAAGATAATTTTAGGAGATACTCTAGAAGGTTCGACAAAAGGAGAAAAAGACTAAATAAACATAAAAATTGCCATTGTTGTCAAGAAGTTATAATAAAATAGGAGTTCTATGAACAGAGCCCAGAGAAAAGAGCAGGAAACCATTTGTATTATTTTGCTATGGTCTCTGTGACAAAGTAGCACAATTAAGTACATTATCTCACAGTTCTGGAGCCCAGAACACTAAAATTAGTTTCACGGGGCTAACGTCAAGGTGTGGGCAGGGTTGGTTCCTTCTGGAGGTGCTGGGGAAGAATTCATTCCTTTGCCTTTTCCAGCTCGTAGAAACCACTGCTGTTCCTTGGCATGTGGTCCCCTTCCCCTGTCCTCCGAGCACATCTCTGCGATCTCTGCGTCTGTCTTCAGAAGCCTTCCTCTGACTCTGACTTTTCTGTAGGAGAGCCGGTACGAATCTGGCCGATCCAGATAATCCAGGGTAATCTTCCTATCTCAAGACACTTGACCACATCTGCAAAGTCTCTTTTGCTATATAAGGTAACATTCGTAGCTTCCAGAGATCAGCACATGGACATCTCGGGAGGTATGGGGCAAGGGGAACATCATTTAGCCTACTTGCTGAAATAATTCATAAAAATTTCCTGCAATGAAGAGATCTGCATTCAGAGACTGAAAATACTCCTTACTTCCCAGCACAGTGATTAAAACAGAGACACAACTATTTTTTCTACTCATCTACTGATGGACACTTGGGCTGTTTCCAGATCTCAGCTATTGTATATAGTGCTGCTATGAACATAGGGGTGGAGATATTCTTCCTGATTGGTATTTCAGGCTTCTTAGGATATATTCCTAGAAGTGGGATCACTGGGTTAAATGAGTTCCATTTTTAATTTTTTTTAGGAAATACCATATTGTTTTCCATAGTGGCTGCACAAGTTTGCATTCCCACAGGCTGTGTACTAAAGCACCCTTTCCTCTACACCCATACACAATGGAATACTATGTAGTTGTAAGAAAGATCTCAGCCCAGCTGGCGTGGCTCAGTGGTTGAGCATCCGCCCATGCACTAAGAAGTCACTAGTTCGATTCCTGGTCAGGGCACATGCCCAAGTTGTGGGCCTGATCCTTAGTGGGGGGCATGCAGGAGGCGGCCAATCAATGTTCTCTCTCATTGATGTTTCTATCTCTCTCTCCCTCCCCCTTCCTCCCTCTAAAATCAATAAAAAAAAGAAAGAAAGAAAGATCTCTTACCTTTCGAGATGACATGAAGGGCCCTGAAGAGTATTATGCTAAGTGACATAAGCCAATCAAAGAAAGACAAGTATCACATGATCTCATTTATTTGTGGACTATAAGGAACAAAATAAGCTGATGAACAAAACAGATCCAGAGACATTGAAGTAGGGAACAGACTGACAAACCTCAGAGGGAAGGGGGATGGGAGAGGCAGGAAGAAATAAACCAAAGAACATGCATAACCAATGGACACAGACACAGTGCGGTGAAGGAGGGTGGGAACAGAAGCAGGGAGGAGGGTGTCAATGGGGGGAAAAGGAGGGACATTTGTAATGAAAAATAAATAAATTCATTTTAAAAAAAAGAAAAAACAGAGACATAATAAAGCACAGTGAAGTGAAATTTTAGAAAATCAGAAACATGAAGATCCTATAGCCAACAGTATAATCATAATAATCAGTATAAATCATAATTATTCTCAAGAGCACATTGGACATAGTAGACAATAGAAGAAAATATTTCCAACCCAGTGTTCCATAATCAACTAAACTACTATTTATGTGTCAAGTTAGTGTAACCCAATACCACTAAAACCTGACAAAGATACTATAAGAAATAAAATTGCAGGCCAATATTTTACACAGGTTAAAAATTTCTAAACAAAATATCAGCAAACCAAATCCAGCAGTATATTAACAGGATAAGATATCAACAACTAGTTAAATTTCTTCTAGAATGCAAGGTCATTTAACATTTGAAACACAATCAGTGTATATTATCACATCAACAGAATAAAGGAGAACAACAATATAAAGATATCAGTAGACTAAGTAAAAGCAATTAATAAAATTCAACATCTATGCATGACAAAAACTCTGAGCAAACTAACAACACAAAAGAACTTTCTCAATCTGATAAAAGGCACCATAAAAAGTTACAGATAATACAGGGGTGGACAAATGTAGGTTTATAGTTGTACAGAGGGAAAAAGACAATAATTAATTAATAAATAATAATACAAGAATACAATCTGTGTTTCACATACTCACAGCTGTAAACCCACTTTTGCTTACCCCTGTATGATCCTTAATGATGAAATACTGGGCACCTTCCTCTAAGAAAAAGTAGAGCAAGAAGAATGTCCATTCGCCACTCTGCTCAGCACTGTTGAGGAGATCCAAGCCGTTACTAAAACACTAGGAAAACATATATAATGTATAAATATTAGACTGGAAGACGTAAAGCTGTAATTGTTCACATACAATATTTTTATGTTGTATAAAATCCAAAATAACCTGTAAACTACTTCAATTAATATGCACATTGAGCAATGTCACCGGAGACAAGTTCAACATACAAAAATTAATTGGATTTCATTAACTAGCAATGAACAATTGGCAAATGAAAATTTTAAACACCATTTTCAAAGGCACCAAAAGAAAGAAAATGTCTAGCAGTAAATCCTACAGAAGTTGTACAAAATCTTTGTATTGAAAACCATAGACACTGATAAGAGAAACTTTTTAAAATCTAAATGAGTGAAATAACATGTTCATGGATTAGAAGAATCAATATTTTAGTCAAATCTTGCCCAAAACAATGTACAGATTTGATTCAGTCCCAGTTACCATCCCTGGCTTTATATATTTTGGTTTGGGTCTTAGTTTTAGTTTTGGTTTTGATTTAATTTCTCGGTAGACGTTGGCAAGCTGAATACAAAGTGTACATGAAGATGCAGAAGATGCAGAGGAACAGTCAAGACCAATTGGAAGAACCTTTAGGAAGAATTAAACAGGAGACTTATACCCCCAGGTATCAAAATATACCATAAATCTAAAGCAATCAAGATAATATGAATGGCCCCACCGGTGTGGCTCAGTGGTTGAGCATCAACCCATGCACCAGGAGGTGGCTGGTTCAATTCCTGGTCAGGGCACATGCCCAGTTGTGGGCCAGATCTCCAGTGGGGGGGCATGCAGGAGGTGGCCAATAGATGCTCTATCTCTCTCTCCCTCTCCTTTCCTCTCTCTCTAAAATCAATAAAGAAAAAAAAAAATTTTTAATTATATGAATGGTCCAAAGACAGATAAACAGATCAATGTGACAGACAAGAGTGCAGAAAGAGAACCACATATACAGTCATCTGATTTAGTCAAAGGTGTCCCTGCAGTTCAGTGGGGCACACAGTGTTTTTCTCAATCAAAGATGTGAAAGAATAGGTATCCATATGGGGGGTAAATGCATCTTGGTCCACACTTCACATCATATTCAAAAAATTAATTTTAAGTAGATATAGACCAGAATGTTAAATGTAAAATTTTTTTAAAGAGCTTCTAGAATAAAATATCAGGCAATATTTTGTCATCTACCCATACCATATAAAATCAAGTGGCAAAAAAAAAAAAAAAAAGTAAAACTATTGGTAAACAGAATAATGTGAATGAACCTCAAAAACATATGGAGTAAAAAAACATAAATGCAAGAAAGTACATACTATATGATTCGATTTTTTATGAGGATCAAGAAGGCAAAATCAATCCTTGTCACAGTGGTCAGGAATGGTAACCTCTGAAGAAGGGGCATCGACTGGCATGGGGCACGGAGAAGCCTTCTGACTTGTGGAAATGTTCTGCATCTTCATTTGGGTGGTGTATGCAGGTATATACATACGTAAAAAGTCATCAAACTGCACAGTTAAGACTTGTGCAGCTTATTCTATAGCAATTTTACCTCAATAAAATGTAAAAGGTTTCATTGTTATTTCAGGATAGAATAGAAACATTTTCAGACATGTAAAGTCACACACTATGTTTTCTGTGAAAGTGATTTGAGGCTGTATTCTAGAAAATGAGAGAGCACAGCAACAAAGAAGAAAACCTGGGAGAGAAGGAAATAGGAGATCAAACCAAGGAGAGAAGGTGCAGAGCATCCCAGCTGGTGACAAATACGTCCCAGGATGTCCTAGGAGGGAAACAGCCCAGATTGGGGGAAATGACTCCAAAAAAATAATAATAATACTTTGATAGAATGCCTAATACATCTGAACATCTAGAGAGGAGATTTAGGCAAATGGGTTTAATTAGTAAACGGTACATTTACTAATGTAAGAGCAAGAAAAATAAAACAACTATTTTTTTCCAGGAAAACCATAAATTGTAAAGGAAATTAACATAAACATGGTTCACTCCTCAACAGGGCTCCTCGAACAGCATTTTCAGGGTTGTAATCATGTTATCACTAAATATCTAGACAACTATAACATAGATATGAAAGGAGTTAGATAACCACCAAAGGGGTGAAAGGTTCCCTCCGTGGCGGGAATGAGAAGCATGTCTGGAGACCGATGACTTCGTAGTAAGTCTGACATCATTATTCAACTTCTTAAATGATGTGCATTCACAGATTTTATTTAAATAAGGTCTTGAAGATTTTTTTCAGAAAGAGGGTGGGAGTGCGACAAAGGAGATTAAGGGGTGATCAGTCAGGAGATACACTTCGGCAGGACTAATGGGCGGACTGAGTGATGGATTGCTGTTGATCATGGTCTAGAAGGAACATCGCAAAGTTTTCAAATTGAGTTTTCAATGCCATACCCTTGCATTTCAATCCCATCATTTTTCAGAGTGAGACAGCCTTTCTTTTCGAAACTTCTTCTTCTGAATGCAAAATGTTTTAAATAATTTGTGAAGCATTCTGTCAGGATTTTATGCTGCAGGGGAAAGAAATTTCCTTCCCTCTTCCTAGGATGGCTACCTCTGAACACAGTCAGCAGAGAATGTATTACTTATTAAAGCAGATGACATTCCCTAAGAGTGTGCAGGAATTATGAGCAATTACAGGAAAGAAAAGCGTTTCCATTACCAAACAGGCAGTAATGATGGGAACCACCATTGAATATGCCAGCAAGATCATAGAGTTTGGAGAGCAGGCACAGTGTTTTGACCTTTATTCTAGCTGATAGAACATGATGCAGTATTCTATTATCCACAATGACAAGTGATTTATTGGGATACTTTATTTTCTTCCAAATTGTTTTGAGCCATTGTTTTTTTTTTTTCCTCCAATTGCACTGAATTTTCATCTTACTGCATGTTTGGGGCTGTAAATATTTGTGCAGTCATTTAAAAAGAAAAAGAAAATCAACAACACTCTCAGCTCTAGAGATCCTCACGTGGTTAATGCTACACCACAAATGGAAGTTTGCCTTGTTGTGTGACAAAGCAGCCTCTGTTCAGGCAGACTGTTTTAATAGCCTTGTCTAAAAGTACCCACAGGCTTAGGAAATTCCCGCTAACATTTCCCCAAAAATCTGCTTTCTAAAACCTTGTTTTAGGAAACCCCATCATGTGGGGAGCCAAATACTCTTGGTAAAAGAGAAAATTATTTTAAAATGGGATTCCCACGCACTGAAGGATGTAGGGAGCAGATTAAAGACCGACAGTGGGACTGTGATCATTATCCATATACCATTTGTCAGGCCTGAGAGCCCGGTGTATGTCTCCCTCACCCTCAAGGGAAGTGAGATTGTTGGTCTGACGATCATCGATCAGGAAAAGATGGTTTTGCTGAGGTTCTGAAATAAGAACAACACATTTAAGAAAGCTTCCTCCTAATGGTCATCTGCGTTGGAGAGAAAGGCCGTACTTCGGACTCCCGAGAGAGGCAGCATAGGGTGTGGTTTTCAGGTAGCGAGCAGGTAGTGCTAGAACGCTCAGTCAAGTGCTGCTTGGCAACACTGATATCTTTTTGACAAACTGCCCAGATTCCATGGTTAATGAGCCATTGTTATCTGCATTCTGTAGATGTACAAAATTAAAGTTCCGAACGACTCAAGACTGCCACTCTAGTGCACTTTCCATTATTGATTTCCCTTCGCAATTTTGTTACTCACTCAAATTTAGAACCCTGTGTGCATGAAATGAGGACCAAAAAGTAAAGGAAGAATGTGGTAACAATCAGTACAGATTCGTGTGTGTTTTTTTTTTATTTTAAAACATATACTCTAGCGAGAGAGAAGTCTAAAGTTTGGTATCTTAGATAGGGGAAGAAAAGAATTGGATTTCCTTTTACTGAGTGGTTTCAGGAAGTTAATCTTTGTGCATCTAGGGCTTTATCATCTGTCCCAAAAAAAGTGAAAAGAGACATTAATTCTAAAACTCTTTGTAACTCAAAAAATGTTTGTTTTTACTTTCAAAATATCATAATTTTCGTAGGACATTAATTCTAATTATTGATAACTGAGAGGTGGGACCAGTCTCCACTGCCACCCCACCTCCCAAGGCAGCTGCCACAAAGCTTCTGCTTCCTCATCAAAATGTTTCCGAATCCTCTTGTGAGCGTTTTAATGAATAGTTATGTTTTATCTAATATTTCTAGGTTTTTAAAAACTGAAGGCAGCCAGCTGGTGTGGCTCAGTGGTTGAGCATCGACCCACGCACCAAGAGGTTGCCCGTTTGATTCCGGTCAGGGCGCATGCCCAGGTTGTGGGTCCCATTTCTAGTGGGGGGCACGCAGAAGGCGGCCAATCGATATTTTCTCTCATTGATGTTTCTATCTTTCTCTCTCTCTCCTTTCTTCTCTCTCTAAAATCAATTTTTAAAAATTTTTTAATAAATAAAAAATAAATTAAAACTGAAGGTTGTTTGGGTTCATCTAATTGCCACTATCCAGAAATTGAACCCCTTTAAGTTATTTTCATATAAGCCAATATTGGATATTAGATTTAATATTCAATTCAATAATGGAGAAGATAATTTTAGGATTACTAAAAATGAAACCAAATCTGTCATATAAGATTCGGTGAGAAATCTTTATATTAATATCACATTCAAAATGGTTTTAGCTCTTTTTAAAACTCTTTTTTCAGAGGCCAAAGATGAAAAATCTGTTGCTTTCAAAGCTCTATTTTTTAACCCACGTAATTTATTAATATACTTGGATTTATGGAATGTAAATGATGATTAACGCATTTACTCATCTCATCTTATATTTTATGATCTGTAAGAATTTAAACTGTCAGCTTGATTATTTTACCAGGTTTTCCCACTATTCCCCATACCTAGTCTCTGCCACAGTAAAGCAAACGGGAGGGCGTCTTCCATCCCAGCGTGAAACATTGTCCTGCCTCTGAACCCTTGCTTTTACTTTAAACATCCGTACGTCCACATTTCTCACT